ATGCTGGCCTGATCCATCAATGGGTTCTTAGGGCCCAGCACATTCGTCACAGTAAATGTGTGTGAATGAACAAATCAATAAATGAATAAAAGCGTGACGCTAAGGCCCAGGGTTTCTGCCAGAGACAGACCTCAGGCCCCTGGGGGCAGAGGCAGGGTCAGGGCTGGACCCTGCTCCTTGTTGACTCATGCTCTCTCCCCACACCAAGTGCCTGTCACTTCAGAGTTTTTGTGGGGAGGAAGAGGTAAGAATGCAGGAGGAGAGGCCTTTAAGAGTGGAAAGCAGGCCCTGCAAGTTCACCGTGTCTCTCACCTGCTGCTGGATCCCACTCATGGCACAAAAGCTCTGCCTGCCAGCAGCCCTGTGCTGTGGACAGAGCTCCCCGTCTCTAAAGAAGTCCATCCTGGCTGAGGTCCTCTTAAATGCAGGACACAGGACACAGGACACGATGAAGTCAGCAGGACGTCTTCGAGAGGAGAGAGAGTTAGGATAAGGCAAAACCCAGCCATTTATCAATGCACACAGGTGCATTGCTCAGCAGATTTGGGGCCACATGAATAAATCACTGCTTTATTTGAGAGCCGCTCCAGCTACACACAGAGCCACCTGAGTCACCTCTCTGTCCAGGACCTGGCCGCCTCAGGGCCCTTCCAAAGGGTCTGGCTATTTTTAGCTGTAATTAAAATCATAACACATAGTGTCATGGACCCCATTTTGGCTAACTGATGTGCAAACAGCTTTTTTAAAGTATTAAACTGACTATAACCCCTTTTTAATCTGGGGGTGTTTCAAGTGTTCAAGCAGAGAGCCACCCGAACGTTGATGCCACATGACAGGTAGTCAATGGGGATGGAAAACACCTGCCCTGGCTGTGTCGATCCCGCTGCTCTCGCTGCACTAAATTACAGAACTAATAGGCTCTTAGAAAGACTGACACCCAGTTACTGTGAGAAAGAAAAGTAAATGTGAAAACCCGCTTTTCTCACCATCATTTAATTTTAATGGGGGGCTTTGAGACTCAATAAATCGCTTTCCTGTTTCTTCTCCTCTTTTCTTCGGAGAAGCACCTAGAATGACGTTTAAGAGGCTAAGAGGCTTCTCCCTCTTAATCCTCTCAAACTACTCAGAAGGTTATGTTTTCTTTAGAAAGCTTCTTAGGAGATCAAAGAGAATTCTAAATACCTGTATATATCAATGCGTTCCCGGATGGTCTGTCTGTCCCATCTTTACCTCTTCCAAACAAATCTAGGCTAGATTCACGCATTCGTTCACCCTCAGTCACTTCCTTATTACTTGGCAAGCAGTCCTTCAATCTTGCCTTCTCTAGGCACTAAGGAGGTTGGATGGTCTGATCTTGCTCAAGTTTAGTCTAAGGGAGAGAGTTAGTGTGAGTGTGTGGTTGTGTACCTGGGGTAAGAGTCCCAGAGATGGACCTAGAAGGAGCAGGAGCACCAGAGGAAGAGTTGTTCACACAGTGCCCTCCTGCTTCCCTGCACCCGCACCATCCAGCCGCAGTCTGGTCGGCAGGTGCTCAGCACTCACCTGCGACAAAATAATGACCTGCTAAATGTGTCCTGACTTGGCTCAACTTGTTAGCCTTTCAGATGAGTCCACCCAAAGTTATGTCTCCAACTCAAATTAGGCTGCTTTCTGCCCCAGATAACTCTCACGATTAATTGTGACAAAAAATTCTTTTTGAGGGAAAGAGGAGGAATATTTTTTAAAAAATCCTGATTTCCTCCCAGCCTCAGCTCTTCAGCAGTCAAGCATTTGTCATATTTTAGTCCTTTAACCACTAGTCATTTCTGACTAATACCCAGCAGGCAGACATGGGGTATGATTTCCAAGATGATAAATGCTTCCCTTCTTATCTTTTGATATCTGGAAGTAGAAAATTTCAAGGAAAAAGGGTTTTACACCAAGACAACCATTAATCTCATTGTGCTCACAACAGAAGGCTGACCAGAGGAGTTTATTAAATCCATAAAAGATTTGATGTATATCAAACTGTTACATAAAGTCAATACTTTGGAGAGAAGCAGACAATAAATACTCAACAAGAGGCAATATTTCCATCAGGGAGAAGGCAATCGCATAAAGATTAGGGGAGCAATTTCAATATTGCCCGTCTCTCTCTGCAGTAAGAAGGTATGTCTTGTTCTCCAGAATGATCGCTGGGGAAGGAGCGGGGGTGGGGCAGGCGGCCTTCCAGACTTGGCTAATCTCACCATCAAGCCCAAATTAGATGTTGTGGACTAAATGTTTGTGTCCCCTCCAGTGCATATGATGGCGCCCTGACCCCCAGTGTGACTGGATTTGGAAATAGGGCTCCTAAGGAAGTAATTAGGGGCAAATGAGGTCATGAGGTTGGGACCTGACTTGGTCTCAGGGGTTCTTTGCTACGTCACTGCCACAGGCCTCTCTGGAGATCAGGGTGGGGCCGGAGCAGAATCCTCAGGCACAGAGGCACTCATCACAGGCATCCCCTGGGTCCAACCAGAGCTCTCGGGGCTAAGAAATCTGATGAACCAGCTTTCCAGGTGAACTGGTATGTCCCTTGGTCAGGAGCCACCTTCTGGAGACACTGTCAGCCTGACTCACTGTCTGGGGCCCTGTGGCTTGCCTCGGCCACCCTGGATGCCACTTTGAGCAACCTCTGCTGTTGATGAGGGGCCTGCTCTGACCAGCTCATCTCCTGCCCTTGACCCCAGGGGTATACTTCTTTTAGGCCTTGTCCTTCCTGCTGCCTAAAGGTGAAAAGGGTTCTCTCTTCTTTGGCATAAAATATTGTTTCCTAGAAGCCCACACAGAGCAGTTAGGAGACCAGGAAAGGCTGCTTGTGAGGGGGACAGGAACCCCAGCTGGCCCTAGGATGACAAGCAGGAGCAGCGGGTGCAACAGCCCTGGGCTTCGCCCCGAGTGTCCTCGGGTTAGGCTGATCATGGTGTGCTTGTGCCCAGGGCAAGATCCATCACCCATATGTCTCTCTAATGGAGGGAGGAAGAGAAAGGGCTGCTTATCCCCTGAGTCAGGAGCAGAGTGGAATGGCAGGCCTACTATCGGAACACAACTAACCCAGGGGTTATGGAATCCTTAAAATCTAAGTCAGGGAGACCCTGTCCTGCCAATGAGACCTCACCCAACCCAGGGGCTTGACTCAGTCTTCTGTGATGCCCAGCTGTCCCCATCTTCCCCTTACTCTCCAGTTGGGTGAGGCCCGGCCACTTCCAGGCAGTCATAGGACCAGCCTCGGTCCCCTCGTCTTACAGGCACCTCGGAGGGGAGAGCCTCCTGTTCACAGTCACCCTCCCAGCAGCGGGGTTGGTTCTAAAAGTCTGGTGTGCTGGTCCCTTGGCCCCTCCTGCTCACTTGCAGGAAGGATTTGGTCCAACTTCTCTGTGAGCATTTTTGGTGAGTCTGGCTGGGCTCTCCCCAAAGTATCCTTTTTCTCCCCAGAAACAGGAAGTGGCTGGCTATGGAGGGTAAACCTGAGAGAAGCCTGGGCTGGGCCCAACTGTCCCACTGCCATCTCCTGACTCGCCCTCTATAGGCATGACCTCCAGAGGGTGTCAGTTTGCACCCTCTCTCCTGAACCCCTAGTTGTAACCCTAACACTGGACTCTGTGAAAAGCATGGGGGAGGATGGAGAATGGCCAGCCCACACCAAGGGATGGAGGCTGAGCACGGCTGTCCCTGACCTGAAGCGTGAGTGTGTAGGACACATCTCACATAATGTCCATTCAGAGAGGTGCTGTCCCTTTAGGTCCTGTACCGAGCCCTCCCATCTCACACACACACACACACATACACACCCCAGCAAAATCTTTGTTATCAGTGCTGCCATGCTGTAGGCAGCATTGAAAAATAGTGTTATTTTTTTTCAAATAGGCACAAGTAGGTACAAAATTCAAACAGGCTCAGAGCAGAGAGTGTCACTCCCACCCCTGGCTCTATTACCTGTGGTTTCCTGTGTCTACTTCCAAAGGGTTTCTGTGGCTTCACAACTGTGAGCCTCATTGGACAGTTTGACCTAAAAATGCTTGGTAATTTCATGAGGCTCAATCAAATACAAGCATGTTCTTATGTATTTGAATTGTAATAATCTGAATCACAGATTTTAATACCAAATGGAGGGACCAATTGTTAGTCTTTCCGGTTAGCAGTCTGGTTAGGGAAAGCTGTTTGCCCTCAGATTGATTCCCCGTCTTACCTCTGGCCTTTTCTCTATTCCAGGGTGGAGTGGGGTGGGGGTTGACTGGCCTCTGCAAACAGTGTTTCCCAGGCTCCCTGGCCAACTGCTTTCCATTTCTGAGTTGGCCTTTGGCTACTTGTCACCAGTGATTAGTGGGAGACAGGGTGGAAAGAGGGGAGAAGCCAGGTTATCCTGTTCCTACTTTCACTCCTCACCTCTGAAGTACCGCTGCATCTCCTTGGTGGACCAGAGACCACCAGGCAGCTCACACTGTGGTTCCACCTCCCACATGGAGGCCCAAGTGCCAAGTTCCAGCTCCCGCTGGGGGTCATAGCTCCTGGGATGGGAGAAACCACCCTTCCAGGTCCCTGTGGCCCTGGGATAACAGAGACATCCTGTGGTTGCCAGCTCCCTGAGGAAGAGGACATTTTTTCCATGACCTTCAAATAAAATTCTTGAGCTTCAGCTGATTGGACGAACTTAGGTGACAGAATCTCTGAGGGGATGAGGGCACATGGGTTTGCCTGGGGATGGTCACGTGACTGTGCTGTGAAGGGAACGGAAGCTGGGGGTAGAGTCCTTGGAGACATGCAGGACGTGTGGGGGACTTGAGATACTGCCTGGTAATCCGGGTTAGTAACTGTGAGAAGGGAGAATTGCACTGGGAAGCCTCAAACAGCAATTATCCAAAACAGTGACTTCACTCTGCACAAACGTGAGTGCTGGGCCAAACCCAGAGACGGACAAGAGGGAAACTGGATGAGGATGTCAGAGATAAAGTCCAACATCCTTATTTATAGGCGGGAGAACAAAGGATGGGAAAGGGAGACTAAAGGGCCTTGATTGGCAGAGCTGGGATTAAATTTGTTCTCCTGAGGCTCACACAGCATTTTCCCACCAGGATGCACAGGTAAGAGAGAGGAAGGGGGTCGGGGGCTGGGAGAGGTTTCCCTCTTGGAAAGTCCAGCACAGTGGTTTGTGCTTGCTGTGAAATTTGCCTTGTGGGGTCAGAGTGTAGAGAGCAGAGGACAGGAGTGAAAAAACAAACACTCCAATTCAAAAATAGGCTCAACGCACAGAGAGACACTTCAATGAAGAAGATATACAGATGGCAAATAAACCCAGGAAAAGATGTGCACCACCACCAGCTATTAGAGATGTGCCAATTAAAACCACAATGAGATATTACTACACACCAATCAGAATGGCTAAAATAAAAAATAGTGATAATGCCAAATGCTGGTGAGGATGCTGAGGACCTGGATCATTCGCACACAGCTGGTGGGAATGTGAAATGGAATGTAGCTATAAACCAGCGGTCCCCAACATTTTTGGCACCAGGGACTGATTTTGTGGAGGACAATTTTTCCATGGACTTGGTCAGGGGGATAGTTTTATAGCCTGCCACCAGATGCAGCTTAATTGTCACTTGCCACTCACTGATAGGGTTCTGATATGAGTCTACAAGCAATTGATTTATTGTTGTCTCTGTGCAGTCAAACCTCTCTGCTAATGATAATCTATATTTGCAGCTGCTCCCCAATGCTGGCATCACCACCTCAGCTCCACCTCAGATCATCAGGCATTTGATTCTCAGAAGGAGCACACAACCTAGATCCCTCACATGTGCAACTCACAGTAGGTTCGAGCTCCTATGATAATCTAATGCTGGTGCTGATCTGACAGGAGGCAGAGCTCAGGCGGTAATGTGCTCAATGGGGATCGGCTGTACACACAGATGAGGTTTTGCTCACTCGCCCACCACTCACCTCCTGCTCTGCGGCCTGGTACCAGTTTGTGGTCCAGGGGGTTGGGGCCCTGCTATAAAAAACAGCTTGGCATATTTTGTGGTAAAGTCAAGCCTCCTCTACCCTGCAAGGGAGAGGAAGCTTTTTAATAAACCCAGTTATTCCCTCTTTCCACTTAGAAATTCTCTCCTGGTGATCCTCTGAATTAGTCTGAAAACTGGAGGGGTTTACAGAAATTACCAGCCCTAGGAGTATTCTGTGGCTTCCTTTTGTCATTGTCCCAATGTGGTGCTGCTGGAGAGGAGAGGAGAGGAGGGGAGAGGAGAGGAGGGGAGAGGAGAGGAGAGGAGAGGAGAAGAGGGGAGGGGATAGGAGAGGAGGAGGGGAGGGGAGGGGAGGGGAAGGGAGGGGAGGGGAGGGAATCTTAGCATTTTCACAGGGAAGGCAGTTGTTCCTTCCCTGTGTTAATAGGAAAATGACAGGTGGGTGCCCCATGCAGGGCTAGGGAGTGGAAAAAACACCAGTTTGGCAGTTTCTTCTGCAACTAACATGCATTGACCATACAGTCCAGCAAACTGCACTCCTGGGTGTTTATCCGAGAAATGCAAACTTACGTTCTCACAAAAATATCTGTGCATCAATTTTTATGGCTGCTTTACTTGTTATAGCCAAAAACTGGAATGAGCCCAGATGACCTTCAACAGGTGAATGGTTAAGCGTCCTGGGACACTATTCATCAATGAGAGAGAATGAACACAATACATGCAACAATATGGGTGAATCTCCAGAGAAGCAGGCCAAAGGAAAAAAAGCCATCCCCCAAAGGAAACTGTATGATTCCACGTCCACGACACTTTTAAAATGACAGAAGTATAGAAATGGAGAACAGGTTAGTGGCTGCCAGGGGTAGGGTGGTGGTGGGAGGAAGGAGGTGGATGTAGCCTTAAAAAGGCAACGAGAGGGAAGATGCTGGTCAGTCTCTTTACTGGAGTGTTGTCTACATGGACCTACAAGGTGATAAAATTGTGTAGAACTTAATGTACACCAAGAATTGAGTATAAGTCCAACTGAGGGAATCTGACCAAGGTTGGTAGATGTGTCAATGTCAATCTCCTAGTGGCAATGTCACAGTATAATTTTGCAAAATGTCATCCTTGGGGGAAACTGAGCAAAGTGGACAGGGTTCTCTGTATTATTTCTTACAACTACATGTGAATCTACAATTACCTCAATTACTTTTTTTTTTAAAGAGCAGAGGTCATTTTCACCTTTTTGTTTGCCGGTGCATCTACCTCCAGGACTTTGAGGCAGGAAATCAGCTCTCAGTCATGGCTCTCCAAAAGGCCAGAGTAGCCTCCTCTGATAACTGTCCCTGCAGCCAGAAGCTGGAGGGCCCACTGACAAGGAGCCTCTGCCACCCTAGGACACCTGTTGCTAGTAATAAACTCATCCTGAATGACCCCTGGGCTGCCCACAAGGCCAAAATAAATAGCAACTGGGTGCAGTTGAAGAACCCAAAGCCTTTCATGAAAGAAAATTGGGATGGAAAGTTGTTTTATTTTCCCAGAGTGCTTGGAAAAAAGACCCTGACATAATAACTCCCAGGTCCAGGATAAATGAATGCAGGAAGTGCCTCAAGAATGCCTTCAATCTGATGGATTTCATTGATCGGCTCTTCCCCGAGTTTGCTCAGGAAATGCTCTGGCTCCCTCACTTCAGCCCGGCGACACAGACACGGTGGCTTTCATTACAGGAAGGCATTTCCTTGGAATAAAATATGAAGTGGGGTGCATTCTACTCTCACCTTGGGCAAGTGTGGTGCCCGGGCTGTGGCTGCCATTTCATTATTTCTAAACAAATATCACCTTTAATCAAATATTGGTTTTCTCTAAAACCAGAGTGATCACAAGTACTTTTTGTCACCAGAGAAAGAACAGTGAGCGACCCAGGGGTCACTGATTTCCTCTCCCAAAACAATCGTGTGGGGCGGGGGGAGTTACAAAGAGCAATGGGGGAAAGTCAGACTAAAAGAGCAATCACCCTTTTATCTTGACTCTTGATGTCTCTGTTCTCTTTCTCCAGGCGGGGTCACAGCCCTGCTGAGTTTGTCCTTGCATCTGGAGGAAAACAGACATGCCAGGCTGGTGCAGGACCTAGTGGAGTCTGGGCTGTGAGGAAGAGCTGGTCAGGTGCTCTGGGTGTCGGCTCACTGGTGTCCGAGATCTAACAGCCTTAACCGACCTGCTGTGTGCCCTGAGCACACACTGGCCCCCTCTGAATCTTCATTGCCTCACTGGTTCGGATGTTCTATGACATTTACAACAGCTTACGGGATTTTTCCATATGCAGCTTCCTTTGGTGACACCTGCTAAGGATGAGAGGTGGCTTCGGCTATGGAACTTCGAGAAAGGCCACTGAAGTCACTGAGGATTCTGACCTCCTCAGTTACCCACTAATTCTGTTTCTGCCATGTCTTGATTTTCTTCAACCTTCCTTCAGTGTCTTTCTTGATATCAGACAACTGCAGCTCTGACTCTGGTTTGAGTGCCCCTAGTGACAGGGTGCTCCCTACCTTGTAGGCCTCTCAGTCTGTCAGGGGGAAGTTTTACTCCAGCAGAAACTTCTCTGAGCTGGAACAGAGAGAAGTTCTCCCGTGACTCTTCATGTTGCTCTCTGCTAATCACATGGAGTAAGGCTAATTTTTCTCACAAATGACAGTGCGCAAGTGCCGAGGGATGGTGATCGAGACCCCCCTGAGTCTGATCATCTCCAGGGTAAGGACTCCCAGGTCCTGAATCATTTATGGAATATAGTCATGAGAGTCTTGTCCATTTTGGTGCAGTTCTTATAAATAAGTTATAGAGCTAAAAATGCCCCTTCTTTTTTCTATAAGATCATAAATGTAACAATATTACTACAAAATTTTGTTTACTACAGGATAAGAAAAAACCCATCAAAGTTTCCATTTTAACCAATTATTATTCATATTTTGGTATATTCTTCTCTGTCAAATTTCTGCATTTGAATACTTTTCATCCCTCTCCCTGTCTGACATCTTGTCAGAGTTGCTTATAACCAGCATTTTGAGAGGATGTATACTCTTCCATGTAGTGGTGTATTATAATGTATTTAACCAACCTCATACTGTTGGATGTTTAGATTGTTTCTATTTTTTATGCTATTAAAACCAGCGTCATGATGGACATTTTGGGGTGTGGCTTCTTTGGGAAAAATGCCAATGAGCTGCATCGAGCGTGAAGGTTTGAATACTTTTGGCTTGCTCGGTGTGGCCTGTTGCTCTCCAGGAGAGTTGCCAGGTGCCCACGCTAAGTACAGAGGGTGGAGGCCACACGTCCTCTTCCTCAGCAGCCAGTATTCGGGCTGAGCTCTGGCAAGAATATTCTCAGAGTGTTCTGGGCAGTGCTGGCCAGTGAAGAATGATCATTTCCCTGACACTGAACTCTAAGTGTCTACTCTTGAAGACAGTGTCAGATACTGGGTCAGAGCTTGGGCTTGAGAATCTGATAAGTCTGGATTGAGCCCTGGTCCAGTCACTTGCCTGCTGTGTAACCTTAGGGGATTTTTGGAGATTTGTTCCCTCATCTGTAAAATGGGAACAATGCTTATCTTAATACCTCCTCTTATCATGATCACCAGTGACCTGTGTATTAGTTTCTTATGGTTGCTGGAAACAATGACCATAAATTTGTTGGCTTTAAACAGCAGAATTTATCCTCTCATGGTTCTAGAGGCCAGAAATCTGAAATCAGTTTCTTTGATCCAAAATCAAGGTGTCAGTAGGACTGCACTCCCTCCTGAGGCTCTCTTTTCTTTCTACTCACCCCTCAGGGATCCCATTCGGTGGTGAAATTATGCTCTTACCCAGCCTCAGGACTGCAAACACCATCTGCATGTTGATGACTCCAGTTCAGTCTTTTCCTCTGGATGCCACGTGTCCCCTCATCTTCTCCACTGAGAGAGGCTTAGAACGTGCCAGCCTGAGCTCCAGGTATTCTCTCCAGACTTTGCTCCTACCACCACCCTCCATATCTCAGAGAATGGCAGCCTGTCCTGAGCACCGACCTTCACTCTTTTCTTCCTTACCCCTACCCTGACCCATTAGTAAGTAGGGCGAGTCCTGTGGGCTCCATCTTCAACATAGGCCAGGTTCTGAGCAGGCCACCACACTGCCATCATCCCCAGGCTGAGCCACCAACATCTCTTTCCTGGAATATTGAATGCTCTCCAAACTTTTTCTGCCAAGCCCTCCTTCAGTATACTTCCCACATAGCAGTCAGACTAAATCTTTGAGTTAAAATGTAAGAAAGAATAAAGCTGCTATAAACCTCCATTAGCAGGTTTTCACACAGATGTAAGTTTCCAACTACTTTGGGTAAATGCCAAGGAGCACAATTGCTGGATAATACAGTAAGAGTATCTCTAGTTTTGTAAGAAACCAACAAACTGTGTCCCAATGTGGTTGTACCATTTTGTGTTCCCATCAGCAGTGAAGGAGAGTTCTTGTTGCTCCACATCTTTGCCAGTATTTGGTGTTGTCAGTGTTTCAGATTTTGGCCAATTCTGGAAGGTGTGTAGTGGCATCTAATTGTTGTTTTAATTTGCATTTCTATGATGACACATGATATGGAGCATCTTTTCCTATGCTTATTGGTCATCTGCATGTCTTCTTTGGTGAGGTACCTGTTGAGGTCTTTGCACCATTTTTCAATCAGACTGGTTGTTCTCTTACTTTTGAGTCTTAAGAGTTCTTTGTATGTTTGGGATAACAGTTCTTTATCAGTACAACAGTCCTCTGCAAATACAATATTTCCTCCTAGCCAGTAGCTTGTCTCAGTCTCTTGACATTGTCTTTTGCAGTTCATTATATTTTTTGTTGTTATAAAGTGAACCACCAAAAAATAAATAAATAAATAAAAGTAAGGCCATGATCTCAGCTACTGAGAGATAAAGGGGAAAGAGAACATGGGGTAAAGTGTGTGACAATTTCTTGTTTTTTAGAGAAGAACTAGGCAAATGAAGGCCCCTGGGCCAGATTCAACTTACCACCTGTTCTTTGTTTCTAACCACCTGTTTTTGTAAATAAATTTCTACTGGAAGACAGTCACGCACATTCATTTCCATACTGTCTATGGCTGCTTTCATGCTCCCACTGCAGAAGCGAGGAGTTGTGACAGAGACCATATGGTCTGCAAAGCCTGAAATATTTACTACCTGCCCCTTTGGAAAAAAAAGTAGGCGACTCCTGTTTAACATCAAGACAGCAAGGCATGTAAGAAACAAGGATTAAATGTCATTCATAAAATTATAAAGACAACTAGAAGATTAGGACAGACTTTGTGTCTGTTAACAATTTGAGTGAATTTCCCTTTCACAAGAAGGGACTCTCATCCTCAAACAGGACAGTTTTTGTGGGAAATGATGGGCATCAATGAAACATTTACAGCAACAAAAAATGAGGGTAAAGTACTATCAGATGTACCTACTATTTAAATAAAATAAAAAGATAAATTGAGGCAGGAGACAGCATAGGAAGAACTCTGAGACTTCACTGCTGTTACTGGCCAGCGTCTGGCGTCCTGGTTGCCAGGAAATGCCTTTTAGCACTTAGGTAGAACAAATAGCAAATCAAGGCAGGGAGGAGGAGGTGGACATGTCTCACCCACTAACTCAGCAGCCCTGAGCCTGGTCCGATAATATTGCCAGGTGTTCCAACACCACAGGAAGCATCGTGCTAACATGGGAGGAGGGCAGGCCTTGAAATTCTGTTTCCACTCTATGGGAAAGAAGGCCTTGAAACTGTGCTTTCATCCCAAGGCCTGAAAGACGGAAAAGGGCCCATAATGCCCAAAGTAAGAGGCCCATCAGACAACTTTGTTTAATTGCCCACCTCTGCCCATCTGTTTTATAAAGGAATCCCTAATGCTTACAGAAAGAGCCCATAAATAACTGTGGATAACTACCCCAACTTTAATTAACTGCCTCCTGTCACACATCTGCTTTACGACAAGATGAACAAATGGAGTCTGGAGCAAGTTTAGGATTCAGGCTAACAGATCCCCACCCATTCCTATGTTTGAGTAGTCATGTCCCCCCTGGGAAAGCTAGCACCACCTTTACCTGTCGATCAATATGTAACTTCTTCAACCCCATCCCACCAAGTATATTAAGTCCTCAAAGCAAAAGGCTGGTTTTCTTGGCTCTCTGGCCACCCTGCCTCAGGCTACCTGCAGGCTTGCAACCATGGCCTTCAGCTGCCCTGCTTTGCCCTGAACCTGTGCCTTACACACACACACACACACACACACACACCTCTTAGCTAGGCCCATTCTCTTCCATGGGAATGGATCACCAATAAACCCTGATGGTAAGCTAATAGATTTGCTGACCTATAGTTCTTTACATGCATCAGCAAGAAGAAACAGTCTTTCCCATCAACAAAATTATATATAAAAGACAGATTAAAAATAAGCAATGTGAAAATTAAGAGTTAAAGGAAGGAACTCGTGGTTAAAATGACTATACATTATCTTCTCTTCATCCAGAGACCTATTAAAATTATAGCAAGAGATAAAGAAAATATAATCAACAAGGTCAAAGGGAGTGGGTGAGGGCACAACGGTGGAGAGGAGACGTCAGCAGGCACCTCGAGGGTAGAAGAGCGGTGACCGGCCGTGCAGGGTGGAGAAAGCTGCAGCGGGCAGTTCAGGCGGAGGAAGAGGCAGGTGAAGGAGACTCCCATTCTTCCTCTAGAACCCAGAGACTCGGCCTCCTGAATCCCTAGGTAAACTGAGGGAGACCACAGGCGGAAAGTAAGGATTAACTCAACAGCTGCACCATTAATTCCCTTCTGCTCCTCCCTCGACGCACCCTGGGTAGTCAGGCATCTCCGCTTCTCTGGGGAAACAAATCCGTGTTCTCTTGTGTTTTTTATTGAAATGCCTCAGAGAAAAGGCCACCTGCTCGCTCTCTCTCATTAAGGGACTGTTTGCCTAGCTCCCTACCAAACATCCTGAAGCAACACCCCTGTGTGGACAGGCCCTGCCCACATATTCAGAGCTTCTCGCAATTTTGAATGTCCTTATTCTAAAAAAAGAACAACTCCACAAAGCATAACCAAACACTTGAGGGAAGCCTCTGTGTTCATTACCTGTTGCCAAGTAAGAAATTACCCCCAATATTAGGAACTTAAAGAAACAATCATTTATATCTCATGGGTTTTATGGGTCAGTATTTGGGAGTGGCGTGACTGGGTGGTACTAACTCAAGATCTCTTCCGAAGTGTGGTCTGAAGGCAGGAGGACATTCTTCCAAGGCTGCCGGCTCTCAGCACTGCGGGCAGGAGGCCTCAGCTCCTGGCTGGCTGTTGGCGGGGGGCTTCAGTTCCTTGCCCCCAGGACATCTCTACAGAACATCTGTTCTCAGGAACAGGGCAGCCAGGACTGATTGATCCGAGAGA